TTCTGGTGGTTGAGGGCACTGGAGCCAGGAACCGGTGTTCCTTTTGCCCAACACACCACTTCGACCCTTACTTCGCCTAGACGGGTGGTAGAATGGGCCCGGTTCTATCAATCGGCTGGTCATGCCAAGCCCTGTGCATAGAATTATTTCTGCACATCCTGGATTTTCAAGAATGTTATATTTTGGACTTGGAATAAACTACGTATTGATATCCTAACTTGCCTAGAGTCCTATGCCGGAAGGCGGTGGCTCATGGGCCAATCTGGTGATAGAGACTTCTGAATTCTGTGTTTCTTGGGAACAGTGTTATGGGCAGAACCTTCTTCTTTTGGATCTCATAGCTATTCAAGTCGATATTTACTAGAGTATAACACCGCTGTATCCCTGGTGTTGCAGGCTGGCTTCCACTGCGACACCGTCTTCATTTGCACTCGGTGGCGGGTGGGGAGCTGCGGTGCTGAACCATATTATCTCACCATGTCTCACACAAACACTTCTGGTTCTAGCAAAACAAACAAACGTCGACATGTAGAGTCAACTTCGTCAGATGATGAAGTTTCGCCTGAAGTTAAGGATGCTTGGCCTCGGTTTATAGTCATATCTTCTTCTGATGGACTTCCATTGAAATTAAATCCGTTCGCTATCTCTAAGGGCATTCAAAGTGCCTGCGGAGAAGTGAAAAATGTAACACGCCTTCGGACTGGTTCCATCTTGGTGGAATGTGCAAGGAAACAGCAATCTGTCAATCTGCTGGGCTTACAGCACAGGTTGTTGTTTCCGAGCACAAGACACTGAACTCTAGCCGAGGTATTGTCAGGGACCTAGCTCGCTGTCTTTCCGACATGAGCGAGGAAGAGATTGCTGCTGAACTGAAAAGCCAAGGAGTCACCAATGTTAAACGCTTCACAAGGAAAACACAAGAAGACAACATTGTGAATACTCAAACTTACCTTTTCAGCTTCTCCCTACCAAGAATCCCTAACTCTATAAAAGCTGGATACTTTCACATTGGAGTGGAGGTTTATGTACCTCATCCACTTCGATGTTTCAAATGTCAAAAGTTTGGTCATGGTGCCAAATTCTGTCGTGGCAAGGCAGTCGTGTGCTGCCGTTGTAGTGGAGCTCATGACACATCAGACTGCTCTAGTGACATGAAGTGCTCCAACTGTGGCGGTGAGCATATGGCTTCCTCCAAATCCTGTCCAACTTTTGAATTTGAGTCCAAAATTTTGAAAATAAAACATACAAACAATGTCACCTACCTAGAAGCAAAGAAATTAGTACAATCTGTAGCTCCAGCTCCTGTAAAAACATACTCAGCAGCAATTTCCTCCCCAACTCCAGTTGCTAAACCTTCGACAAAATCTATTTCTTGTCAAACTGACATCTCGTGGATCAAGGATGACCAGGTTATTCTTGATACTTTACATCATAGGTCCAATAGTGATCCACTGATTGCCACAGCTTCATCTCAGACGGAACCAGAATTAGTACCCGACAGCCAACCAGTGGGCAAAGCCCACTTAACTAACAGCGAAAAAAAGAAACTTCGAAAAACCAGGGCCCTCCAACACATGGAGATGCCTTCTATTACAACATCTGTTGAGGTTCATAACCCCTATGCACCTCTGGAGATGGATGTCACTCCCACACAGCCAGTCCATGGGAGTGGACACTCCTCCCGCTCACGATCCCCGGTTGAGCCACCATGAGCTGCTCAAGTCATATCCTTCAATGGAATTGCAGAGGACTACGGCATAACTATAATGATATCCAATTACTACAACAAGATTTTCAACCATCAGCTTTATGTCTTCAGGAAACATACTTGAAAACTACAGATCAAATTGACATAAGAGGCTATACTTCCTACCATTTCTTTTCTCCCCCAGGGGCTAAGGCCACTGGAGGTTCTTCAGTATTAGTAAAGCAGGGTGTTCTTCACAGCCCAGTTCTCCTTAATACCGCTCTTCAGGCTGTTGCAGTTCGTGTGACTCTGCACATCGTACTCACTTTGTGCTCGCTCTATATTCCTCCGTCATATTCTCTTCAGCAAACTGATCTCCAAGCCCTTTATGACCAACTACCAAAGCCCTGCATCATAATGGGTGATTTAAATGGGCATAATCCCTTATGGGGCAGTGCACATACCAACACGAGAGGAAAGTTGCTGGAAGATTTTATGTTAAGTAATGATTTATGTATTTTCAACGATAATTCAAAAACATATCTTCATCCTAGTACTGGGACATACTCGTCCATTGATTTGTCAATTTCAGATTCAGATTTGCTTGATGAGTTTGAGTGGTCAGTCCACAACGACCTCTGTGGAAGTGACCATTTCCCTACCATTCTTAAGTCTGTGACCCCATCTGACGTTCCTCCATCATCAAGATGGAATTTCAATAAGGCTAACTGTCCTTTGTATGAAAATCTTTGTGCAAACCGACTTACACCTGAACTTTTTCTAGATGTTCCTGATCCAGTCAAATGTTTCTCTGACGCACTCCATAATATAGCTGATGAATGTATTCCAAAGTCCTCTGGAAATCCACACATCCGTAAACCATGGTTCAATGATACTTGCAAACAAGCTAGGAAGGCACGGAAAAAGGCTGAGAATTATTTCCGTCGTCATCCTATGGTTCATAATTTAAATAAATTCAAAATCATAAATGCCAAGGCACGACGTACATTTAAACAAAATAAACGCATGTCTTGGCAAGCTTACGTTTCGAAACTAAATTCACGTACGCCGCTATCGAAGGTATGGAACATGATCAAAAAAAATTAAAGGTAAGGGATCTAAATCTGGTATCCACCATCTTCAAAATGGGAATGAATTGTTAACTGATAAGTCCGATATTGCTAATAAACTTGGTGAAACTTTAGCTAAACATTCTTCCTCGTCTAACTATGTTCCTCAATTCCAGAAGTACAAAACACAGCAGGAAAAGAAAACTATTAATTTTAATTCAGATAATGGGGAAGATTATAATGAAGTATTTTCTCTTCATGAGCTCCATACTGCCCATGGGCAGGCTCACGATACTGCTTCAGCAGCTGATAATATACATTATCAACTCCTGAAACATTTACCAGAACCTTGTTTAGTAACCTTGTTAAATATATTTGATGACATTTGGACCTCTGGCTCATTTCCTTCATCATGGCGTGATGCCATCGTTGTTCCCATACCAAAACCTGGATGTGATCATACCGATCCCTCAAACTACCGACCCATTTCACTGACCAGCTGCGTTTGCAAAACCATGGAACGCATGATCAACAATAGATTGACATGGTACTTGGAATCCAATAATTTAATCACAACTATTCAATGTGGTTTTCGTAAAAACCGGAGTACTGTTGACCATTTAGTTAGATTAGAGTCATTTATTAAAAATGCAATTATAAACAATCAACATGCAGTGTCTATCTTTTTCGATTTGGAAACATGGTATTTTAAAGGACTTGCACGATTTTGGATAGGGAGGCCGTTTGCCTCAATTTATATCCAAATTTTTAACTGACAGACAATTTCAAGTCCGCGTGATCAACCCTGTCTGATCATTATAATCAGGATCAGGGTGTCCCACAAGGCAGTATCTTGTCTGTTACACTTTTTAGTATTAAGATAAATAGCCTGTCTAAGGTCTTAAATGATTCCATAGATGGGTCGCTTTTTGTGGATGATTTTAACATGTCTTGTCGTGGTAAAAATATGCATTCAATTGAAAGACAATTACAGTTATGTCTCAATAAAATTCAAAAATGGTCACTTGAAAATGGCTTTAAATTTTCTAAAGCCAAGACAAATTGTATACATTTTTGTCGCAAATATAAATCACATCAAGACCCTGTACTGTATTTGGATGGCACGCCTATCAAAATTGTAAAGGAAGCCGAATTCCTAGGACTTATTTTTGATAGCCATTTGACATTTAAACCCCATATCAAATACCTTAAAGCTAAATGCCTGAAGGCACTCGATTTGTTAAAAGTCGTTTCCAATTCAAAGTGGGGAGGTGATCAGAAGACCCTCCTCCAACTATATAGATCTCTCATTCGTTCAAAACTGGATTATGGCTCCATCGTTTATGGGGGTGCATGCAAAAGCAATCTTAAAATTCTGGATTCTATACATCACCAAGGACTACGGCTCTGCCTTGGATCCTTCAGAACTTCTCCCATTAACAGTTTATATGTAGAGGCTGATGAACCATCACTAAAACTCAGACGTCTAAAATTATCTTTACAGTATATTACCAAATTATCTTCAAATCAGTCAAACCCTGCATATGATTGCGTTTTTCATCCCCTATATGAGGACCTCTACCAAAAGAAATCTTCTCTTATTCCCCCTCTTGGAATAAGATTGAAAACTGCAATTTCTGATGCGAATTTACACCTTGAAAATATTTCTCCTTACCACCTTTTGTCTTCACCTCCTTGGCAACTGATAAAGCCAGTGGTAGACATGACACTAACAAACCTAAAGAAATCACAAACTAATCCACTAATTTATCAACAAGAATACCATCAACTGAGAACTAACTATGATACATACAAATCTATGTTTACAGATGGATCCAAGGATGGTGACGCGGTTGCTAGCGCTACTATCATTGGATCCAGAACACTCTCGTTCAGGTTGCCACATGACAGTTCAATTTTTTGACGGCAGTATCACACGCCATCTTAACAGCTCTTAAATACATTCAAAATCAATCTAAACATAAGAAGTTCATAATATTTTCAGACTCTCTTTCATGTCTTCAGGCTATTCACAATATGTCCAGTACACATCCACTTTTACTCGAAATTGTCGAATTATACAATGATCTAGCTAGTGGCCAATACGACATCGCTTTCTGTTGGTTACCCAGCCATGTCGGAATCGTTGGTAACACAATGGCTGATGCTGCTGCAAAAGCAGCACTCAACAAATCTGTGACTCCACTTCTTCTACCCTACAGTGATTATAAACCTGTTATAAGATGTTATATCAGAGATCTAATGCAGAAGAAGTGGGACACCCAAGTTGGTATAAGTAAATTACATGAAATTAAACCAAATATCGGTTACACCTACTTGGGCTGTCAGTCCAGATTTGAAGAGGTCATTATGCGACGATGTCGTATTGGCCATTCAAGATATACCAATGAATATATTTTAAAAGGTGAGGATCCTCCATTTTGTATCCCTTGTGATGGGAGAATCACCGTCAAGCATGTCCTGCTTGATTGTGTTGATTTTTCCATCACAAGGGATAAATATTTCAAAGTTTCATCCTTAAAGGATCTTTTTAGTATCAATGCTCGTTTAATTATTGCCTTTTTAAAAGAAATTGAATTGTTACATAAATTTTGAATGATATGTTTTGTATATAATATAGTTTTTATACTTGGTAAAATAAATTTGATGACTGAGATTGTTAGTGGCTGTATCCTTGAAGGGGGTTGAAGTAACGTAAAATTATTGTCCCCCTGAGAGGATATGTAAGACCACAGCATTCAAAGTACATTTATTCTTGCCACAGTTTTAGACGTAGAATATTTGTTTATTTTAAGGGTTGGCTAAATTGCATATAATCACCAGCGGCTGAAGGGATGGTGTAAATCCTGCTGGGGAGTCGTGCAGGTAGCAAAAGTATTGTAAGTCCCCACGGTCACCAGTAAGGTGGCCTAACTTTGGTTGCTGGTGGTCTATAGCCCATTTTTATATTGTATTGTTGATTGAAAATGTATTCTTTTTAATGTTCTCCACTAGTTTTAAAATCAAAACTGTGATACTCTAGTTATTTTTACTGTCCTTCGATGACAGATATTTAATCCATTCAAATATTTGTATTGTATATCAGTTCTCGTCACGATATGGCTGAAATACTGCCGATGTGACGTTAAATATTAACTCACTCACTCAGTTGAAGGTCCACATCCAACAACTACTGAACCAACCATTCAACCCTCTGAAGTTGCTGCCATTAGAGCCATCCGGACAGAGTTTCAAGGTTCAGACATCAAGGGGTGTTTCTTCCACTTTACCCAGGCGATTTGGCGGAAGACACAGGAGCTTGGTCTTGCTGTTGGATACAGAGATAACCCCCTTGTGGAACAGTGGATCCGACGAGCTGCTGCCTTGCCTCTGCTGCCTCTTCAACAGGTTCAGGATGCATGGTTTGACTCCATGAACCAGTCTCCCGATGTACCGAATGCTGACGAATTCAACGACTACATAGTCACAAACTGGGTGGATTATGAAGCCAGATTCCCTCCTTCGCTGTGGAACCATCACCAGACATTCGGCCCAAGGACCAACAACAACCTGGAGGGTTTCCACAGTCGCCTCAATGCATCACTGAATCATCGTCATCCTAATCTCTACATCGAGATCATCAAGAAGATTGTGAAATCTGAGAAGACCAAGCTATCTCAGTTAGACCTAGGTGCAGCTCCACCAGCAAGAAAGCGTGTGTACAAGGAGATTGACAATCGACTTTCCAGACTGAAGGATCAGCTATCCCAGGGTGTCAAGACACCACTCCAGTTTTTGGATGCTGTTGGCAAACTTCTGAAGATGGATTAAGGTTGTGTCAGTGTGACAACCTCGATGTGAACTGTGATGTGAACTTTGATATTAACTTTAACTGAACTCTAAGTGGCGAATATGTTAAAACAATGGATTTAAGGGATGGATGAATTAAAATGTTGAATGGAATAAAGTAAAAGAGGGTATCAAGCATCTTGAGTCATTTCTTTTGTCTATAATAAGACAAGTCCATTTTCATGATAGGGGTTAATTACCTGATTAACATGTGCAACCAGGTATGACATTGTTGTTTTAAGGTGTCTCACAACTGGGCTGTCTTACTAATGTGAGGAGACCATTTGAACTTCACGTTCATGAAATTGTACTTTATATTTCCGTGACAATAAAGAAGTCCAAATACCAATCTCCCTCTTGGTTTCAACAACCACATGTATTGATCATCTTACCACTTCAACTTGTGCACTGTTCATCAACAATGTCACAATATGTTTAAATGGCATCTAAAGACCTGTAGTATCAATGAAGACGAAGTCGACCTACGTTTTTCAACTTCTTTATTCTTTCTATAAGACGTTTTGGAACATATGCTGGTACATGTATGATAATACAACCATCACGCACTAGGGTGTGTGTATAAGTACGCACAATTCAGTATTTAATATCAAAATGTAAAAGCATTCAAGCCCCAAGGTTCATTAAATGTGTTGTTCAGTTCCCCACGTGCCGATACCCATCTACTTCTTGGTATTAACAGCCACTAGTCTGGGTAAACATCTTACCAATTCCAATATTTGTTTTTCATTAATATTGAAAATTCGTCATTATGCGGTTTATAAAATCTGTCGATGAGGTCACGTGTAGAGTTCAACATATCCCCGACCTCAGCCCCATAATGCCTTTGGTTTGCTGGCTTCATATTCGCTATGTTCTCCAAATCTTCGTCAGACAGATTTCCTGTAAGACCAATATATGATTATTGCTATGTATGAAATACACCTGATTGAGTTTTGTTGTTAAATGTCCCAAAGTAAAAAAAATCGTTTTTCAATCAGAATTGACTGGTTATGGTCCAGTACATTATACTCAGCATGGCAACATTCACGTTCTCCGAGACACACGTTGCGGCCTTCGAAAGCACATGTTCCACATTTGGCTTTGGTTCATCTTTTGTACATATTTGCTCGTGGTAAATATCATGTGTCACTTTGGGCTTCGGTCTCAAGCTTAGACGCTGCCTTTAACAGCGTTCATTTGGAGTGTTGGTTGGTTGGCGGTTGGTCTTTACAGCTATTACACAATGGAATCATCCTCAAAAGAGACTTCAATACACGAATCCCAGTTCGAATCCCAGCCTTCCAGTCTTTCCAAAGTGTTAAACGTGTACGACTTGCGTTACTTTGGGCTTCCCGCTCCCATGAAGCCGACACATTTCAAAGTTGCGTTAAATTCAACTGACTTATCAGCCTGTAATACAAGGCTATTAATATATTAGTCGCGGTGTGACAGCCCAGTGGTTAAAGAGTTAGCTTGGTCTGTACAGCTCTAGTGAGTGAGTGAGTTTGGTTTTACGTCGCTTTTAGTAATATTCCAGCAATATCACAGCGGGGGACACCAGAAATGGGCTTCACACATTGTACCAATGTCGGGATTCGAACCCGGGTCTTCGGCGTGACGAGCGAACGCTTTAACCACAAGGCTACCCGACCGCCCCCTGTACAGCTCTAACATCAACAGAAACGGTATACTCACTCAATTTAAGAAATTTGAAGATTTCCGCCAGATGCGTTTTTTCATTTTTTATATAATCTTCAAACTTAATCACGTGTATTTGGTCTCTTGGAAAAAGTTTCATCCAGTCGGACATGAACACATGGTAGATACCTCGTCTGACATCCAGCTTGAAAACAAAGTAAAAAGTATGTATGCGGCTGACACAGATGACCTGGCATCTACACATACGGCAGGGACATGGTCAACATAGTCAGCAGAGGTGCTGCCATAATACCAAGGTTAGAATACGCCCTACGCTGCCTCTAACCCCCTTAAAATAGGTTCACACAGTGGGCTTTGTTGTTCGTATGTGACGTTATGTAGTAGCAGTAGCAGAAGCGGTGAGGTGAGGTTTAACATGTATTTGTGTGTGCGTGCGCGAGCGTGTACACGTCCGGACAAAAGCCGGTTTTATAGTGCTAGCCCACTTTCTAATGTGGCTGCCTCACCCAGACACAGTGAGTTCGAGCCGACCAGTCCTTGTTTTATCCCCTTATGCCGAGCGCAACGGTGAGCGAAGGGATGTTACCTTCGCCGCAGTCGGAAATATGCATTTCATCATATGCACATACTAGTAGTACTGGCAAATATATAGATTTTGTTTGTTTGTTTCTGTGGTGTTTAACGCCTTCATAGCAATATTCAAGCCATATAAATAATCGAGTCTGCCAGACAATCCAGTGATTGACATCATGAGCATCGATCTAACCCGTATCGTCACATACTATGTATTTTGGGGTATACAGCAGACATACACACGTACTTCCTCTGTGAGAGAATAAAGCAAATACATGGAGAGATACACTGATCGCCTCTCCGAAAGAACTGCAGATATAAAGTGAGACACACAGACTTCCTCTGTGAGACATACAGTGGATATAAAGACAAATACACAGATCTATTCTGTGAGAGAATAACACATTTATTAAGAAATACAGAGAGACAGACGTCTCGCGATACTCAGACAGCCTCTGTGTGATAATATAGCAGTTATATAAAGATACCCAGACAGCCTCTGTGAGAGAATAAAGCAGATATATAAAGCTACTCAGACAGCCTCTGTGAGAGAATATAGCAGATATATATATATATATATATATATAGATACCCAGACCGCATCTGTGAGAGAATATAGCAGATATATAAAGCTACTCAGACAGCCTCTGTGTGACAGGCCTATAGTACAATTTGAAGAATATACAATTTTATACAATTTATGTACATATCTCACCAAATCACCTCACGTCATTCCACATCGCATCTCAACACAGTCACATAATTTCACACATACAGTACAATACCATACCCTGTAATTTCATAATTTCTATTTTAACATATCACAACTTATTATATCATACAACATATTCCATAACATCATATCATATTGTATCATTATTATAAGATCATACTATATAGTATTATTTCATATACCATTATCATATCATAACATACCATACATACCATCGTAGATATATATATACAGATATATAAAGATACCCAGACTGTTTCTGTGAGAGAATATAACAGATATATAAAGCTACTCAGACAGCCACTGTGTGATAATCTAACATATATATAAAGATACCCAGACCGCATCTGCGAGAGAATATAGCAGATATATAAAGATACCTAGACCGCCTCTGAGAGAAAATATCGCAGATATATAGATACCTAGACCGCCTCCTTGTGATTATATATCAGATATATAGATACCTAGAACGCCTATATATCTGATAATATATCAGATATATAGATACCTAGACCGCCTCTGTGTGAAAATATCGCAGATATATAGATACCTAGACCGCCTCCTTGTGATACTATATCAGATATATAGATACCTAGACCGCCTCCTTGTGAAAATATCGCAGATATATAGATACCTAGACCGCATCTTCTTGAAAATATCGCAGCTATATAGATACCTAGACCGCCTTCTTGTGATACTATATCAGATATATAGATACCTAGACCGCCTCCTTGTGATAATATATCAGATATATAGATACCTAGACCGCCTCCTTGTGATAATATATCAGGTATATAGATACCTAGACCGCCTCCTTGTGATAATATATCAGATATATAGAGATACCAAACCGCATCTGTGAGAGAATACAGCAGATATATGGAGATACCCAGACTTTTCTGTGAGGGAATAGAACAGATATATAGAGATATCCAGACCGCCACGTTGTTATAATATAGCAGATATATAACGATACCCAGACAGCCTCTGTGAGAGAATATAGTAGATATAAAGAGATACCAAGATTGCATTTGTGAGAGAATATAGTAGATATAAATAGATACCTAGACCGCCTCCGTGAGAGAATATAGCAGTTATATAGAGATACCCAGACACATTTTTTGATAGAATATAGTAGATATATAGAGATACGCAGACCGCATCTGTGAGAGGATATAGTATATATGTAGAGATACCCAGGCCGCCTCTCTGTGATAATATAGCAGATATATAGAGATACCCAGCCCCACACTATGTGGTAATATGGTATATATAGAGAGATACCTAGACCGCCTCTGTGAGAGAATATAGTAGATATATTGATATACTGATACCACCTTAGTGACAGAAAATGGAAGATATATACATCTATAATAATATATAAAGGGAGATACTTACCGCCTCTGTGAAAGAATTCGATAAAGAATAGTTGTAGCAACACCCTCGGAACGACTGTGATGTCAGACAGGTTTTAAAGTTTGCAATCTCTTTAACAACCAGATCGTGGAAACCTTGTTTTGACACCTTGCTTCTGTACAGTTTGGCTTTTTGAAAGTATGAGGAGTAGAGTCTGAAAATATATGAACATATTTCTGTTGAAGATATGTCACTATACACCTCCCTTCAGATATATCGCTTTACACCTCCCTTCAGATATGTCACCATATGCCTCACCACCGATATGTCGCTATACACCTCTCTTCAGATTTGTCGTTATATGCCTCACTAGCGATATGTCACTACACACCTCCCTTCAGATATGTGTCCATGCAGGAAGCAAAAGTACTGTAAGTCCCCATGGTCCCCAGTATGGTGATCTCCCTTCAGTTGCTGACGATTTCTATCCCATTTTTATATTGTGGTGTTCATTAATGCTTACTGCTTTTTAATATTCTCAACTAGTTTTTAATCAAGTCTGTGATATTCTAGTTATTCTACTGTCCTTCGTTGACAGCTTTTTATTCAGTTTAGATATATGTATCATAAATGTATCATAAATGTATCATATATGTATCAAAAATGTAACTTCTCGTCACGATATGGCTGAAATATTGCCCATGTGACGTTAAATAATAACTCACTCACTCACTCACTTCAGATATGTCGTTATATGCCTCACTACCGACATGTTGCTATACACCTCCCTTCAGATATGTCGTTATATGCCTCACTACCGACATGTCGCTATACACCTCCCTTCAGATATGTCGTAATATGCCTCACTACCGACATGTCGCTATACACCTCCCTTCAGATATGTCGTTATATGCCACACTAGCAATATGTCACTATACACCTCCCTTCAGATATGTCGTTATATGCCTCACTACCGACATGTCACTATACAACTCCCTTCAGATATGTCGTTATATGCCTCACTAGCGATATGTCACTATACACCTCTCTTCAGATATGTCGTTATATGCCTCACTAGCAATATGTCACTATACACCTCTCTTCAGATTTGTCATTATATGCCTCACTACCGACATGTCACTATACACCTCCCTTCAGATTTGTCATTATATGCCTCACTACCGACATGTCACTATACACCTCCCTTCAGATATGTCATTATATGCCTCACTACCGACATGTCACTATACAACTCCCTTCAGATATGTCATTATATGCCTCACTACCGACATGTCACTATACAACTCCCTTCAGATATGTCATTATATGCCTCACTACCGACATGTCACTATACAACTCCCTTCAGATATGTCATTATATGCCTCACTACCGACATGTCACTATACACCTCTCTTCAGATATGTCATTATATGCCTCACTATCGATATGTCACTATACAACTCCCTTCAGATATGTCATTATATGCCTCACTACCGACATGTCACTATACACCTCTCTTCAGATATGTCATTATATGCCTCACTACCGACATGTCACTATACACCTCCCTTCAGATATGTCATTATATGCCTCACTACCGACATGTCACTATACACCTCCCTTCAGATATGTCATTATATGCCTCACTACCGACATGTCACTATACAACTCCCTTCAGATATGTCATTATATGCCTCACTACCGACATGTCACTATACAACTCCCTTCAGATATGTCATTATATGCCTCACTACCGACATGTCACTATACACCTCTCTTCAGATATGTCATTATATGCCTCACTACCGACATGTCACTATACAACTCCCTTCAGATATGTCGTTATATGCCTCACTACCGACATGTCACTATACACCTCTCTTCAGATATGTCATTATATGCCTCACTACCGACATGTCACTATACACCTCCCTTCAGATATGTCATTATATGCCTCACTACCGACATGTCACTATACACCTCCCTTCAGATATGTCGTTATATGCCTCACTACCGACATGTCACTATACACCTCCCTTCAGATATGTCATTATATGCCTCACTACCGACATGTCACTATACACCTCCCTTCAGATATGTCGTTATATGCCTCACTACCGACATGTCACTATACACCTCTCTTCAGATATGTCATTATATGCCTCACTATCGACATGTCGCTATACACCTCTCTTCAGATATGTCGTTATATGCCTCACTAGCGATATGTCACTATACACCTCCCTTCAGATATGTCATTATATGCCTCACTACCGACATGTCACTATACAACTCCCTTCAGATATGTCATTATATGCCTCACTAGCGATATGTCACTATACACCTCCCTTCAGATATGTCATTATATGCCTCACTAGCGATATGTCACTATACACCTCCCTTAAGATATGTCATTATATGCCTCCCTACCGACATGCCGCTACAACTCCCTTCAGATATGTTGCTATACATTTACCTTAAGATACGTTGATATACATCGCCCTTCAGATTTATCTCTAAAAACCTCCATTCAGATATGTCGTTATATGCCTCACTACAGATATGTAGCTATACACCTACTTTCAGGCATGTGGCTATACATCTCCCTTCAGATATGTCTCTGTACATCTCCCTTCAGATATGTCTCTATACATCTCCCTTCAGATATGTCTCTGTACATCTCCCTTCAGATATGTCTCTGTACATCTCCCTTCAGATATGTCTCTGTACATCTCCCTTCAGATATGTCTCTGTACATCTCCCTTCAGATATGTCTCTGAACATCTCTCTTCAGATATGTTGCTGTACATCTCCCTTCAGATATGTCTCTGTACATCTCCCTTCAGATATAACTCTGTACATCTCTCTTCAGATATGTCTCTGAACATCTCTCTTCAGATATGTTGCTGTACATCTCTCTTCAGATATGTCTCTGTACATCTCCCTTCAGATATGTCATTGTACACCTCCCTTCAGATATGTCATTATATGCCTCACTACCGACATGTCACTATACACCTCCCTTCAGATATGTCGTTATATGCCTCACTACCGACATGTCACTATACACCTCTCTTCAGATATGTCATTATATGCCTCACTATCGACATGTCGCTATACACCTCTCTTCAGATATGTCGTTATATGCCTCACTAGCGATATGTCACTATACACCTCCCTTCAGATATGTCATTATATGCCTCACTACCGACATGTCACTATACAACTCCCTTCAGATATGTCATTATATGCCTCACTAGCGATATGTCACTATACACCTCCCTTCAGATATGTCATTATATGCCTCACTAGCGATATGTCACTATACACCTCCCTTAAGATATGTCATTATATGCCTCCCTACCGACATGCCGCTACAACTCCCTTCAGATATGTTGCTATACATTTACCTTAAGCTACGTTGATATACATCGCCCTTCAGATTTATCTCTAAAAACCTCCATTCAGATATGTCGTTATATGCCTCACTACAGATATGTAGCTATACACCTACTTTCAGGCATGTGGCTATACATCTCCCTTCAGATATGTCTCTGTACATCTCCCTTCAGATATGTCTCTATACATCTCCCTTCAGATATGTCTCTGTACATCTCCCTTCAGATATGTCTCTGTACATCTCCCTTCAGATATGTCTCTGTACATTTCCCTTCAGATATGTCTCTGTACATCTCCCTTCAGATATGTCTCTGAACATCTCTCTTCAGATATGTTGCTGTACATCTCCCTTCAGATATGTCTCTGTACATCTCCCTTCAGATATAACTCTGTACATCTCTCTTCAGATATGTCTCTGAACATCTCTCTTCAGATATGTTGCTGTACATCTCTCTTCAGATATGTCTCTGTACATCTCCCTTCAGATATGTCATTGTACACCTCCCTTCAGATATGTCTCTGTACATCTCTCTTCAGATATGTCTCTGTACATCTCCTTTCAGATATGTCTCTGTACATCTCCCTTCAGATATGTCTCTGTACACCTCCCTTCAGATATGTCGTTATACATCTCCCTTCAGTTATGTATCTGTACATCTCCCTTCAGATATGTCTCTGTACATCTCCCTTCAGATATGTCTCTATACATCTCCCTTCAGATATGTCATTGTACATCTCCCTTCAGTTATGTCTCTATACATCTCCCTTCAGATATGTCTCTGTACATCTCCATTCAGATATGTCATTGTACACCTCCCTTCAGATATGTCTCTGTACATCTCCCTTCAGATATGTCTCTGTACATCTCCCTTCAGATATGTCATTATACACCTCCCTTCAGATATGTCTCTGTACATCTCCCTTCAGATATGTCGTTATACATCTCCCTTCCGATATGCCTCTGTACATCTCCCTTCAGATATGTCATTGTACATCTCCCTTCAGATATGTCTCTGTACATCTCCCTTCAGATATGTCTCTGTACATCTCGCTTCAGATATGTCGTTAAACATCTCCCTTCAGATATGTCTCTGTACATCTCCCTTCAGATATGTCATTGTACATCTCTCTTCAGATAAGTCTCTGTACATCTCCCTTCAGATATGTCATTGTACATCTCCCTTCAGATATGTCGCTAAACATCTCCTTCAGATATGTCTCTGTACATCTCCCTTCAGACATGTTGCGGCACTCGTGAAGAGCAACCTCCTCGTGGTGAGTGCTGGGTAACGCTAATCGCTCTTCCCCCGTGTGGAACCGGGGCAGAATATTTCCACAGCCTCCCATTGCTGGTCGTATGAGGCGACTAAAATGGGCAACCTGTTTGCCGTGGGTTGCGTCCCTGTGTCGGCGGAGGACGGGAGTCTGGTAGTTGAGGGCACTGGTTCCTGGAACTGTGTTCCTTTGCCCAACACACTACTTCGACCCTTACTTCGCCTAGACGGGTGGTAAGATGGGCCCGGTCTTATCAATCGGCTGGTCATGCCAGGCCCTGTGCGTAATATTGTATATGCACACATGTGTTGTATTGTAATGTATATTTTGGACTTGGCCATGCATACCTTGTGTATATTCTCAATTTTGGATTGTATAAATTGCCTAGAGTCTTACGCCAGAAGGCGGTGGCTCATGGGCCAATCTGGTACTTTCGACCTCTGTGTTCTGTATGTCTTCAATTTCTTGTCATGGGCCGGACCAGCCTGGCATTTTATTTGTTAGACAAATGCAGCTATTCATGTTGTTTTTACTGGAGTA